GGCCACACTGCTGTCTCAGCGCTGCACTGCCCGTACATGTGGCCAAGGAGGATGGAGCCTGTGACTAGTGAATCAAGCAAAGGAGAATTTCCTCGTTAACCTCATTGTCCTGAGTAGAAGGGAAAAATCATCCAGGTGATTCTGGAGATGAAGTGTCTCACAGGTGTGCATGATGCAATCAAAATGCAAGAGTATGCAACACTATCAAACCCAGCGCTTAATGTCCAGCTGTCTAAATGCTCATGAATCACAGAGTCATAAGAGGTTCGTGGGATTCACTTGGTATTCGTAATTCGGAGACAGCAGATACTCTGAGGCAGCAACAGCTTGGCAGAGGGATGAGAGAGAGAGTAAGTGTAAATAATCCTTGGTCTGCAGGCTAAAATCCTCTTTGGAGGAAAACAAGATGTCAGGATAGTGGGAGGGTAACCAGGAGTATAAACCTACCTTAGAAAGAGGTGAGGTATGAGAAGGTGAACAAGACAGGGTTGGGTAAATGCACAAATACCTATTTGTGCGGAGTAGGGTGGTAGCAAAGTCAGAGGATCCAGACACAATTCCAGGAAGTGAGAGGAAGGAGGGGCTGTTACCAGCAGTGATTGTTTCATTTAGTAATTAGTTCTTAAATCTCCTCTAAGTCAACTAAAGCAGAGGATGTGAGCTTCTGAGAACTGTTCCCTCCTCCCCTTCCCCACACATCCACACCCATTTTGCACATACGCTTTCTAAGTGAAGGCTGTGTTGATGGGAGATTTGACCGTGGGGAGCTTGCTGGCAGTGTAGGGCGGGTGCTTGGGGGTGTTCAAGACTGTGGGGTCTTCTGCGTGCTCTGTCCCTGATGTACTGTGTGACCTTGGGTGAGTTGTTCCCTGTGTTCTTCTTTTACCTTCCTTTCACCTGCTAAATGCATTTGGAGGATGAACTAAAGGATCCAACATGTTGGCACCAAGGTTTTTCTGGAGTATGGTGAAGAGGAAAATGTTACAACTCTCTGAACACTGAAGGAAGATATCTAAATTGTTCGTGTGCCGGCAGATCAAATGTGTCACCTCTTCTTCCTTGCCATGCAGGCTTGGGCTGGGTCCAGGCTGGGAACCCATTGCCTGGGGCATTAAGACCCTGCTCTGAAGCTGCTGCGTGTACTGGTTCCTCATGGACCGCGTGTGTTTCCAGAGCAGACGACAGCGTGGGTCTCCCTCTGCTCTTGCTTCTAAGTTCTTTTAGAGCAAAAGACATCTTCTCGAGTACAAAGTTGCCCTCAGACTGAAGCAGATGGCTGCTGCAACCATTCCTGTTCTTTCATCCCTTCTCCCCATTGCTTCCCCTTCCTGAGAACTGAAAGGAGCTGCGTCTTTGCTGCAAACAATGATTTGTAAAACAGTGATATTTGAAATTAGTGGCTGCTGCTGTCTTTGATGTTCTTGGCACTGTTGATTGCTCCCCAAAGCAAGCTGGGAATTACACTGTCATTCTCTTGCCTCGTAGCTCAAGGCTATATTTAGTAGTTCAAGTTGCAGCAGATCTGAAAGTTGTTCCCTTCAGCTGCAGCAGGAGGCTAACGCTGTGATAGAGCGCGGTGTTTTGTAAGCGGTGACTTCAGCGTGCAAGTTTTCCATCACGAGGACAGCTGAACCCGTCTGTGCAGTATTGCAGGGATATCCCGGCTGCCACTGGGTGTGTCGATTTTAGAAGGACCGCCAAGCCTTTGCTCTGGAGTGACCCTCACAACCAGTGTGGTTTTAGTGCTTGACTTTTGCTTAAATCTTAGCGCTTGGTGCAGAACTTCTGCTTACGGTTTCTGGGATGCAGTAAGTGGCATTTCCTTATTGAGGGGGAAAATACTGTCATTTAAAACAAGCATCTTTCAAGATAAAATGATTGCAGCATCTTTATTTTCTGATCCTGCGATTGGATCTTTGCTGAATGAGTGTTCTCTCCAGGACTCTGGGAAACACAAAGGATAATGTTTGAATTCAAGTCGGTTCGTTGGGGGTGGAGATCCATGCAAATGTCGAAATCCTCTGTCTGCGCACGGAGTTTGTAGCTCCAGAATTACAGGTTGGAGAGCTTCATTGAATTGTCAGAGGTTTTCATAAAGCACTGAGCATCTGTTATGTCAATGGAGTTTACTCTTAATTGTCTCTTCAGAGTCTAGGTATAAGTGACTCAAACCAAGAATGAAATCCCATGGTCTGTCTCCTCTTGCCAAAAGGCGAAGGGAAGACAGTTGCATCAGGAGTTAAATGAATTTTTAAAAATGTTTTTCTTTCCAATAATAGGAAAGGGGTGAAGCCTGCCTGCCAGCCATTAACAATGCAAATAAATGGGGAGAGAGAAGAGAATGTCCGTTCCTTCTTTAAAAAATGGATTGAAATGTGCAAATGCAGGTGTTAGTGGTGGTGTTATTTGCTCCTAATTTTCCAGACGTAAGATGGAAAGAAACTCCTTGTCTGTTTGCTCTCCTTCCTAACCAGTTTATTTCCCCCCTCATAGTATGACACTGCTTCATGTATAGTCAGTTGCTCTGTGGCTACTGTGGTTTTTATTTACACAACAACAAGAAAGATAAAAATTTAAATAAAGGAAAATGTGGTTGTGGAACCACAGTTTTTTATTGAGTTTAACTAGACTTTAGGTTGGCTTTTTTAAATCTTAGCGATTGTGAAAACCAAATTGCCCCTGTTCTCCTGTGCAGGGACTCGAGGCCAGAAATCTATTTCTGTTACAAACCTACTGTTTGACTTGGTATAAACACACCACCGCACCTCCTCTCCGCCCACGCTTAGACCGTCCCCACTCTGAAGAGCTTTCCTCGGTGTTTGTCCAGTGCCTTGTTCGAAAGGTTCCCAAATTCGGTTGGAGCCATTGGGTAACAAAAAGAATGTTTTGAGTATTGACATCAAGATGTAGTAGTAAAGTCTTACGTTTGAGAGCACACCTGGTGTTTTTGGAGCGGAGTGACTTTCTGTTAGTGAGCTCAGTGAACTTGTGTGAACGTTGACGGTGTTCCTGTGGCTCTGGTGACACCGCACTGTGGATTAACTGGATTCAGGTAAACTCCTTCCTGGGCTACTTCTCTGTTGAAATAAGAGGCTAAAATGGATTGAAATGTCCTGCAAACGTGCTGTGCTGAGTGGGAGCATTTCTGTGCATGAGGCTGCCTGGAACGGGAATTTGACAAGTCCTGCATTTGAATGCTTGCATTGCAGCCCTGCTTGAGCCCTTGCTTCTAGGATCAGAAGAATCCACAGGAGTCTTGCTACAAGGAAGGCAGCAGTAGAATCCGAAGAGAGGTTTGTGGCAGGGCTTCAGGTTTCCGTAATTGCTGTAGGGGGTGTGCGGTACAGTGTGGGATTCTCTCTGCTGCCCTGCCTGGGGCTGCCTTGCTTCTGCCAGATGCTGGGTTTAGAGTTTGCTCCAATTTGTAGATTCAAAAAAAAAAAAAAAAAGGCTTGAAAGGAAGCTTGTACTTAAGGTCTGCTTTCTAGGCAGAAATGATTCATGTCCTATTGGGGGAGTGAGGGATGAGAAGAGCATCCTGTGAAATGGTGACTTTGGGGACTCCTGTTTTGAAGAGGGATGTTATCCCTATCCTTAACCAGATAAACCAAATGGCCTTGTGTAAATGAGGGGGTTTGTTAGGGAAGCTGATGCAAAGGCAGGGTTTCCTTAATCTTTGCTGCCTTGAATTGGAGCTCTCCAGCTGAAGGCAGCAGCCCTAAAAATTATGGTTTCAAGTGCCCTGCTGAAAGATGACATTTGTAATTGGTTTATAGAGTTAGAAGCTGGCTCACTGGGGGCTCGTTGCAAAGAGTGCTTCAAGGCAGTGACTAATTACTCCCAGTGGTGCTGAACCACTAGTTGGTTTTGAACCTGCTCTTTGCATCTGGATGAATCCAAAATGATTCTGGTGTAGTCAACAGTGCCATTGTTTCCAGATCCTGGATGGGACTTAGAGAGGCCGTCTAGAGTCAGTTCAGCGTGCAGCCTGCCTAGTCCAAGGTTTCCAGGAGAACTGGAGGCTCGGTTTGCCTCCAGCAGACCTGATAAGGATCTTGCTGACTTAAAACATGATGACTTGACTTTCTAAGAGGACGAGCGAGCACTGAATGGACTGAAGAGTTCAGAATATCTTTTTGTAGCTATAAATATATCTATGTGGTTATGACTGGCTAATTTAATGACTATGAGGTTGTTAAATGGGGGCTGTGTCGGTTACTGTGCTCGTTAGAAGAACGGAATCATCTGAAGTAACTTCAGTTGCTGCTGAATTGGAAGCTTGGAATGCTTCAGAATCGGAAACCGTATGAAAACCCTTATGCTAGTAAAACAAATTGCTGATTTTATTCTCCTTAATTATAAAGGTTTCAGTTCTGGATGAAGCTCTTATGCTTAGCCTTGCTAACCACTTTGAAACCAGCTTGGAGTGAAAGGAAGGGAGGTGTAGGGAGCAGGAGGGGTGTGTGGCCAGCAAGAGTGGGAAGAGAGCTTGAGTTAATGAAGAAGGTTGAGATGCTTGTCAGATGTACAGGAGAAGAGGGTTCATTTGAAGCTCCACAAAAAAAAAAGTTCTGTGTTTGGCTCCAAATCCAGCCTAGGAAATGGATTGTGGTAATAGTCCTTTCTTTGCAGACAGAATGGTGTTGTGATCTGTGATCTCAAACACAGGGACTGAACAGCACAGTGGGACTTTAATCACCATCAGAGCTTTAAGAATTGTGGTGAGATGGAAGACTCCAAAGTGGAAAAAATGCTTGTAATTACTTTAGTGCCTACCAGTTTGGAATGGCTGTCAGGAAGGTACTATTCTACCCTTTATTTTCACTTGCTTCCTTTGTTCTAATAGTCACATATTCTTTAAACATAGAAGACTTGCTGATACCAACATTTTAGTAAAAATTTGTGCTTTTCCTGGACCATTTAAGAAAACCACTGTCCGTTCTGATCCAATGTAATTTCAAACTCTTGATTTTCTTCCCCTTTTTTTTTTTTTTTTCCAGGGTGGTAAAGGAGGAGATTTCAGACGACAATGCAAAGTTACCTTGCTTCAATGGAAGAGTGGTGTCCTGGGTACGTTGGCTTGTGTGTCTGTATGCATACGTTGTTTGATAGAGCGGGCACAGCACCAGGGCAGTTGGTACATGGATCCTGATTTTTAGAACTGTCTTGACTCTCAAATCACATGGCTGAAGGGCTCGGTGCTGCTCAATGTGCTGCTCTCAGGATACGCTTGAGCTATGAGCGTTGGTGACGCTGTTTTTGTCTTCAGTCCAAGGATTACTGTGGTCTCTAGCATGCTGTTCTGACAGTATGGGAATAGGTGGTACAAAAAGGGATTTCATGTGTAATTAACAAGCTGAAGAGAGCATCCCGAAAGCTTCAGATAAGAAAAGGCTATGAAGGTGTCATTTACGTTGTCATAGTGTGAGAGCAGCATCTGTTTTAGAAGCAGAGGGGTAGAAATGAATAGTAGCTCTTATCAGGAGATAAAATTAATCCTGAGAACCCCTTTCCTCCTCAGTATGTAACAATTGCACTGTGTTTGCTTCTCAGTGTCACTCCCTCCCTGTTTTTCCCCTTTCTCCTTTGCTTCTGGACTGGTAAATATTAATTCAAACAGGCTGATATCCAGAGTGTCGTCTTCTTCCCGATGCATTCAGGAGCATGATAGTGTTTGTTTTGATTTGTGTGGTCTAGCTTTGGTGATTCAGTACACCGATGATTCACTCTGAACTTGTATACAGTACTCGGGCTCTTCTGTGCAGCGAAATATGACTCAGGGTTGTTCCACCAAGGGCCAGTGTTCTTCAAGTTTTAAGCAAATACAAACCCCCAACCCCGTACTATTCCACCTGAGTAAGGAAGTGGATTATTTCATTCCTCTTTACAGCCCAATTCTTTAACCTCTTCCTCCTTCCCTCTCCCAAACCCAAGGGCGTTTGATCTCAAGTCGAGAGCTGAATTATTTTCCTAGCTTCTTAAATAATATGAAATATGAAAATATATGCCTCTTCTGTTTTCCAGCTGAAAAACAGGAGAATGAAGAGCAGTAACATCAGAACAAGAATGTATATATGCGCACACACACACAGAGTGAAATGTTATGTTTTCATTCTGTGGCTGTTACTATTTTAATTTCAGAGAAACATTACAATTTTAAGAATGAATTCAGTTTATCGTGATTCCTGTTCCAGTATAGGTTGCTGGCTGCTTTCCAAATGTAGAAGAAGGCAGAATCCTTGCTCCAAGGATTATTATAACTCCTAATGTGTTATAAACCAATCTATTTCAGCTGAGACAGAGACAGCATAGACTGTTGCAGGTAGTATGGACAGAAATACTGCAAATTTATGTGCATATCCCACTGGTTTGGATTCAGTTTATAGCTCTCTTCTCAGAGATCACATAGGGCACCTTTTCCAGATGACGTTGACAAGGGCTTCTGTTCTCTCTGCTGAACAATCAGCTGAAACATCTGTGTCTGACCTGCATTACCAATTGCAAATTACTTTTTCCACACTAACACCCATAAAATTGCAGTGCTTATCTGTCTCTATTTGCTGCTAATTACTGGAGGAGTTTTATGTAAGTCTGACTGTAAGTTAATTGTTCACAGTTTGGAACCTTTCAATGTCCTGTTCACTGGAACTTAACAGATAACTGCATACATAGATCTCAAGGCTAGCAAAGTTATCTTCACCTTTTGGAAAAACTGTGTTTTGGGCAGGGCTGGTTTTTTTTTCTGATTTTTACCACGATGGGTCTGAGCTTTCTTTGTCTTCAGTGTTATAACACGTGCATCAGCTGATCTTTCACAAAAGCATCTCTGATAATTGTCATCCTCAGCGTGAATTACTGTGCATTTAAAATGGGAATATTAAGGGCACACGATATAGCGTAGCTGTCTCTTCCCCCCTACCTCTCCTCTTGACTGAAGCAGTGGCTACTTTGAAGTTTACAAGATGACTGACATTCAGAAATTTGAGATTTTCATCTTTTTTAATAACATTTGAATCCTTCTATTTGTCATAGATAGAAACTTTGATCTTGGTGTCACATGCAGGACTGATTTCCATAGGGGAAAATGTTCAAGGGAGGGGATCGGCAAGTCTTTAGTTGTTCCTTGCTTTTCCTGCCCTGGGAACTCAACGTACAGCTAGATGAGTATGGAATTAGAATCACTGCTCCTAACTGGCTGGTTAAACCTCCTCCCACCCCTCCTGTGTCCTGTTTTTTTCGTCCATACCTTAGATCTTTCCTTTTGATTTTGGGGTGGTTTTTTGTTTTGTTTTGTTTTATTTTTACTAAATAATTTGGGACAAAGGGCTGCTACTTACTAGATTCCTTTTCAGAGGTTGACCTTTAGGTTTTTCAACAATTTAGAGGCTAGCATTAATTTTATGGCAAGAGTTCTTCATCTAATAGTTATTACTATAAATGCATTTACACAAACACATCTTCTGCAAAAAATAGCTGATCGTGTGCCTGTTCTGCTAACACACACACAGATAAAACGTAAGATACAATTTTTCTCAGGGAATATTTTATTTTGAGTTCTTTGGGACTGCTCACCTGGGTGAAATTATTCATGCATTTCTGTTCTTTCAGGTCCTTACTGGGCAATTGGGAAAAATAGCTTGTATGGAAGAGAATACGCTACCTTCAGGCTTTTTGCAAAAGCTTTAAATGTTTTTCTGTTCTCTTTGCGCGGTCCAGGGACAGCCTCCCAGTGGAAGCTGGGAGTGTGGAAAGAGCTGGCTTGTGGTTGCTGCCAGATCGGAGCCAGCCGGGTGGGCTCTGCCAGCAGCTTGCACAAAGTGGGTTGGCTGTTATCTGTGTTTTTTAGGAAGGCTTTGCAACATCTGGGAACAATTCCCCGCCTGGCTGCTGGGAATGTCTGCTATTTCCCATTGGCTGGCAGTGATGTCATTGCCTTCTGTGAGGCTTTTTCTTTTTTTTTTTTTTTCTTCTCTATTATCTGGGCGCCAACAGATAATACTTGTCCTGTTTGTACGTAAGCTTTTTAGACACTGTATTTGCAATTGCAATTAAAATTCTTGGGTAGAACCATTTAGTCTTCTGTCGTACAAGGCAACACAGGAGCTTCAGGCTTGTGAAATGACCTTTCAGCATTGTTGTCTCTCAGCACATAACCGAGGCAGCAAATGAAAATCCACAGGAGCAGATTCTTGCTGATTTCTTATGTATAAAAGTAACTGATTTCAGTTTCTTCTCTTCATGGATTTTATACCCCCATTCATCTGCTGATAGACTGAATTGTCACACAGGAGAAGAGAGAGCTGTGCATGAAAGCTGACCCAAAGTGAAGAGGATATTAACAAAATATTGTAATGTAGATCATCTTCCATCAGTTCAGAGCTTATAAAGAAGGGAGGCGGGATTGCTGAAAACATTCCTGAGCTTTAAGGTACCTGAATGAGTTACTAGGGAAGGCTCTGAATCCTGGTATAGGAGAATGAAATTCCAGCAGCTGGGGCTGGAGAGCAGGGGATGGGGACAAAGCAAACAGGGTAACATGAAGGATGGGGGAGATGAAGAAAAAATGAAAAGAAATCTTCCTTCCCTAGTGGTGTGGCAGAAGTGCTTGCTGTCATTTGCAGAAGCGTGGCTACGCTCAGCCCAGGTCCCTGCGCTGCTCTGATGTACACAGGTGCCTGGTTTAGCTGGGGTGAGGAATGTGTAAGCTCTCAGTCGCCAACCTGCTGAATAAATCTGGAAGTGTGAGACATGGAGAGAGGATTATAGGACTGCAGATCCCTTTTTTCCCACCTGTTCTTACTCCGCATGTTCTCCAAGAGGCAGGTAATCCTGTGTTTAAAGGAGAACTTGCTGCACAGTGTCAGTCAGTGAAATGGAATTTGTTTCACAGCTCGCCTGCTGTTCAGTGCCATAAACACACACCTGGGATGCTTACCAGAAGCTGGGAGTGATCTGAGATACTGTATTTCATGAAGATACGATATCTTCTCTAAAGTGATAGAAGGTGGAAGATGATAAAATCACAAATAGAATTGACAGTTTTATTTTGAAACCCATTCTGCTTCTTTCTGTCTCTGATCCCGTATTCTTTGAGTATCTATGGTCCACGGATGGAGCAAACCCCAAACAAAC